GTATGATGTCAAACTTTTGAGTAAAGTTATTTATATATTATAGGGGTCATCCACAAATTATGTCATACAAAAAAGGGGGGGGGTTAGTATTTTGGTGACAGTTTGTTCATTAGGAGGGGGTAATCAGTTTTGTGACGCAAAATTCTTTTTTTTTAAGTTTCAAATCTAGAAAATCTTTTCTATTGATTAAAAAAATACCTAGAGTAAAATACCTAGCCTAAAACATAAACCCTAAGTTGATGAACAATCAACTGAGGCCATTCCAATTTAACTTAAATTGGAATTGATTAGAAATTGCTTTAATTTTCATGGAATAGACTTAAATTTTAGTAGATTTAAGTGGATTCTGCTGCGTCTACAGTTTTACCAGTCAATGATATATCTGATATATCATCAATGAAAAAATAATGACCAATAATATAATTATTAAATAGAAATAATATAAAAATTATTAAACAACAATAATAATTAAAATGCATTAGCACTAAATTAGCACTAAATATTCTAATGTCTAATGTTTATGTTATATTAACATAACATATATTAACATAACATATATTAACATAACATATATTAACATAACATATATTAACATAACATATATTAACATAAATATATTATGCACCGCCACACTAACTTATTGCTAAAGAAGTTATTTCAATTATATATTTATCAAAAATTAAATATATCTTTAGAGATTTTGACTTTATTCAGTTAAACTTTTTTTGCTTGTTATATCAGCACTGACTATATATTTTATATAGATTTTTAATAGGGTTCATATTTGGAGAATTGCCGAGCCAATTAAGAAGCTAGATACTCTCATTAGCAAGAAATATTTTTTTGGGTTTTGCAGTATGGCATGGAGCACCATCTTGCTTAAAAATTATTTTTTCACTATTAGGAAACCATTTTTATATCTGTGGAACCAGCCTAGTCTGTGGAATCAATGCAATCTGCAGTCTTGTTATTTATTCTATTTTATTGTCCCTTTTACAATGTAAAGTTGACCAGTACAACTGCTTGATATGCATGACCAAACCATTATGGTCCTTTACAGTGTTTACAATCAATTATGGCTTGTATTGTTCTCCTTTTCTGCGGTGCACAAATGTGGCTCTGTCTTCCAAAGTCTCAAACATAGATTCATTGCTAAATACAACCTGAATAAAGCAGACTAAAAACATCAACATTGATGTTTTTATAATTTTTCAGATATTAGTAAAATCAATTGGGGTAACATTAATGCAAAAACGTCTTTTTAACACTTTAATAATAATATAATAATATTTTTTTCAAATGGAGAACAATTAGAAAATTTATCTTATTTCAAGAAGAGAAAAAGAACCTTAGCAAAACATTTTTTTTTTTAAATAATTTTTTTTTTTTTTTTTTTTTTTTTTTTGTTATTTAACTCTCCAAGGCCAAGAAAGCTACTACAGTCGAGGAGGCTACTTTTACAGTACAGGTCTCTCTCAACTTTTTACACTACAACCCTCTCTCAACTTTATAACTCTGAAACACGAACCTCGACGAACAAGGCCGCTGTGCGGAGAAACAATTATTGCAGGCATAAGCTTCAGCTTCTTGAGTGGTTTTCTACACGTGAAACCAAACCCATTACTTCTTAAAAATTTTAATGAAATGTTGATCCATTGATCTTTCAAAATGCTTTTCAGTTTTATTGCAACATCTGACGATTTTCATATTATTAGTATTTTTAAATTCACAATAAATATTAAATTATATATATATATATATATATATATATATATATGTATATATATATATATATATATATATATATATATATATATATATATATATATATATATATATATATATATATATATATATATATATATATATATATATATATGTATATATATATATATATATATGTATATATGTATATATATATTAGGGTGCATCAAATCCCCAACAATTTTTTCAACTATTATGATTCCTGTGTTCCACTACATAAATTATAACTCCTGTAAAAATTTGAGACTTTTCTGTGGCAATTTAATGGGTCTACAACAAACACAAATATCTGTATTTTTTGCAATAAACTGTAATTAATACTATTGGCATCAATTCCAGGAATTACTGCAAAGACTGTCAAATAAATAAAAGAATACTCAAATATTCCAAACAAGTATAATAAAATTTACAATATCGAGCAGAGCACTGTACAATAGGTAGCTTTTAGCTACTGTGACCATGGGTATATATTTAAATATTGTCAATTGTCATCTTAGTGATCTTCGACTGTTAGTGCTGCTCATTTATTTTTATGGCTGTGCAGACTTGAAACTTTCTTTCTGTCAGCCTCAACAACTTGCAGAATGTTCTAATATAATTCACCTCAGTTTTGTCTGCATCTAGAAAGTCTGCACTTAGTTTCACACCGTGTTCTGCACTGTTATTGATAACATTGACAGAAATCATTTTCATCTTTGATGACAGAAACGAAGGGTGAACTGGCCGGTTTTTAACATTATTGTTTAGAAAATCTACATTCATCTCTAAAAGGCTGAAATTGTACTATGAATCTGCAGTAACCAAATCTCCAAGTCTTGTTGTGGCAGTGATTTCAGTCGGGAACTTGGGTTTTCCAAAGCCAGTTCTGTAGCGATCATGCAGCAGAGCTATTCTATTACTAGGCTCGCTGCCGGAAGTTTCTTGGCTAAGTACTGCAATTCAGGCTTTGAAACAATGTCACTGAATAGAGCATAGCACTTTCAGATATTACAGAACTCATTTGTGTGTACTTCAGAAGGTTCTGATAAAGGCAGAGATCATGCCATGGGGCGTCAACTGCAGATCTACGCGTCCACCAGGCACTGTATTTCAGACACACAGGTGATGAAGCTGCATAACTTTGGCTGCTGTGCAGCAGTGGTAATTGTTCCTGCTGGCAACAAACGTATCTGCTTTTCAAGAAAAACCATTTTGTTGGAGTACAATATTTTGGAAATCCACCCTGCTTTGTGGACTGCACCTGGTCAATGAAAGTGAAACTGTCTGTTTTCTGGATCAATGTACAGAAAACATAATCCACTGAATTCTTTAGTCTTCTCGCTGATGCTCTATGGAAGATTCAACAGCTGCTTCTGCACTTTCCTTCCACATAGTAATCTGAGAAACAGTTTGTGAATCATTTGAGAAAGGTTGAGGGTAGAATGGACTAAGTGTCTTGTGGCTTCCATTAGGAATTGTGTCAAAATGCTTTTTAAATGTGCTAAATATTCTAAAAACTTTTCTGGCAAGTCTTTTCTGGCGTAAACTTTACAGCAGATTGTGCCATACTATTTGTACAGTGCACAATGGGCCAAAATCATTAGCTTGACAAAATAATAGCTTTTAAAATATTAATCAGATTTTCCCCATAATTTCCAGGTTGAGTATATTTTATACTAAGACTTTAATGGTACCCTTAGATTGTTTATTTAAATGCTATGGAGACCTATATTCCATAACAACAGTGCATTTTGCATAGTTACCTAAATTAAGAGACTTTCTTAAAATGTCAAATTTATAAACTAAACTGGTATTAATGCTACAATGTTATTTTATGTATTTGAATAACAACACATACAAAAAATTACTAAATTTTGGTGTTGCTATGCAGTTTTGGGCTCTTAGAAACCAGTTATTAAATTTTTTTTATGAAACTTTTGCTTAATTCAAAATTTCTTTAAAAGATAAAATAAAATTTCTTTAAAAATAACAACTTTGAAAACAATTATAACTCTAAGGGTTTATAGACACAGTTAATAAAATTTGAACTAATTGTATCTATGTATTTCAATTGCCCTTAGCAACCAAATAAAAAAACCAACAAGTGTTCATACAATTAAAGCTATAGAATACTTCTAAAAGTATTGTTAGAATACAAGCAAATTTGTATATTCACAGAAACATTTATTTATCTATCATGCATTATTTTATTATTTAAATAATAAATACTAATAAAGTAAACAACATCTTGAATACCAACTAAAATCGAAACTATGCAATTGCAATTTATAGTTAGTCAAAAATTGAAACCTCTTTGAGTATATCAAGAACTCCAATTAGAAAAGCATTGCTCTTACGATAATATTATTTTCTTGAACTACTTATCAAAGGTTCAAAAAAAAACATTAGTTGCCTTGATAATTTTTCATTTGTTTTTGACCGCAAACACTTTCTGGAAAATGATTCACAAAACTTCTTTAAGTTCTTATTTTTCCTCTTCACTGAGCATGCCATAAAGCAAAGTAGTTCTTTCTTTAACTTGCCAACCATGAATAAGAATACAATGTAAACAATATGACATATGATACCAGGAATATAGATTTACATGCTTTTTAACTATTTTGTAGCAGTATTCTTTAAATAGCAAAGAGTCAATTAGAAAGCTAGATGATAATGTACACAAAATAACATGTAAAATTTTTATCATACTGACATTAAGTTCAAGAATTTGAGCAAATTTTTCTGCATTCTCAAAAAATCTTCTAGCAGTGTTTTCTTTATTTAATGATCTGGAGCCACCAGACATTGGCATATCAATAACCAGTCCAACTTTATGACGAAACCTTATTTGAATTTTCTCTTTTCGTCCTTGGATAATTTTCTTTTCAAATAGTGTCCTTGTAGACATTTTTTTTTAAATGTTATTTAGGTACCCCAAGAAGACCTAACAGTCTTGTCACAGAGCGCCAGAGAAGTGCATTATGCGCATTTAAAGTGACTTGACCCTCAATCTTAACTTTTTTTACACTAATGTTTTTACCAGTTATTTGACAGGTCAGCTTTTTTGGTAGTAAGAGAAACTTGAATGTTTTAATTCATTTGAATATGACCAAGTTTTCATCAGGATGCCTAATTTTATAATAGTCTTTATTTATTGAATCAGGAAATTATTTTTTTCATAGCTTTATAAGTTATGAGAGGTCACTTATTTTAGTATCTACCACAAGTTATATCTTAAGTTTATATTTAATTGATAGGAATGGTTGAATGTGGATACTCATCAGGACCTGATTATTTACGAAGAGAAGATTTTCCACAATTAGCTGAAGGTTGTTTAAAAAATCAGGTAAGTTGATTCTATCTATATAATAAAATTTATAGAAAGCAAGAAAAGTTAAAAGATAGTACTTTATTTTATTTTAGAAAGACATTCAATTTAATGTTATTGCTAATGATACTTGGGAGGAAGCCAAAAAATCTTATACTGAGTTTTTTAGGTGTGTAAAGTATTATATTATTATAAAGTTTTATATCAAAGTATTGTTTTGTAAAGGAAATTCTTGGGATATTTTAATGCCAAAGGTTTTAATATTTTTAGAATGTATAATTCTCAATAGAATATATATATATATATATATATATATATATATATATATATATATATATATATATATATATATATATATATATATATATATATATATATATAAATATATATATATATATATATATATATATATATATATATATATATATATATATATATATATATATATGTATATATATATGTATGTATATATATATACTCTTGCATGTCTCTTGCGTGGCATCAAAAAAAATTTCCCATAAACTGTAGTTTTAAAGAGCGCGTTAATAAACCAGACCAAAAAAAGTTTTAAAAATTTAAAAATTAAATTTTTTTTTAATTGATAGACTGCCTGGCCAAACCAAACCCTCAGTCGATGTAGCAGCACTCTCTTGCGAGTCAGGCTATTTGTCAGTCGTTGTAGCAGCACTCCCTTGCGAGTCAGGCTATTTGTCAGTCGATGTAGCAGCATTCCCTTGCGAGTCAGGCTATTTGTCAGTCGATGTAGCAGCACTCCGTTGCGAGTCAGGCTATTTGTCAGTCGATGTAGCAGCACTCCGTTGCGAGTCAGGCTATAAGATAGTCGATGTAGCAACATTTACGCATGTTTTAAAAATGTTTTTTATTAAATCAATAACAAAAACACTACTAATTAAAAAAAACTTTCTAGTCGTTATAATTGCGGTTTTTTAAAAAAATTTTAAAAAACAATTAAATTTAATGTACTTCCGCATAAATTAATTGCTTAGACATTTCGATGACAATCAAAAACAGCTTAAGAGACGAGGTAATTAAAATTGTAGTCGTAAGAGACTTTTTTTACATTAAAACGCTCTTTCGACTACACTATAAGGGTATATATATATATATATATATATATATATATATATATATATATATATATATATATATATATATATATATATATATATATATATATATATATATATATATATATATATGTATATATATATATGTATATATATATATATATATATATATATATATATATATATATATATATATATATATATATATATATATATATATATATATATATATTATATATATTTCAGGCATTAGATATAGGTTAGCACTAATTTATTTTGCACACTCTAAATAGAGTTTTCAAAAAAAAAAAAGAATATCGCAAAAATGTTTTTTTTCTTGCCATAATAAGAGTTCTTTGTATCATATGAAACCCATCATTATATGTAGGCTACAGGGGCTATATTTAGATAAGGGCTATATGTAGCCCTAGGAATTAGAGTTGGCATTTGGCATGAATGATCTGACCTAACTGCTGACCTAGAAGTGTTTGAGGTTGCCAAAAAATCGCCAACCTTGTTTTATTGTAAAGACTTTGTATCAAATTTTTTTTACTGACCTCTAATAGATTAAAAAAAAGTCCTCAAATATTAATTTGGATGGCGCCTTAATACGGTCGACGCTGTCGAAAATGGTCTAGAATAGCCCCTGATATATATATATATATATATATATATATATATATATATATATATATATATATATATATATATATATATATATATATATATATATATATATATATATATATATATATATATATAAAGCTTGGTCAGGAATGGCATGTGACCGCACTCCATTCCTTACCTTACACACATTTTTTGACAGTTTAACCATGTCTTTGTCAACCATGGCAGATTTGATGTTTTGACAATTAAAACACTTCATTAATTGGCTAACAATACTAAGTTAAACTAAAATAGGAAGCAAAGAAACTAAAAGAAGATAAGATTTGTTACAAGCCTCGAATTAAGTGTTATTCAATAAAAAATATTTGTATTGATCTTGCAATTATGATATAAAATCATGTTACAAAACCATACTATTACTATTATTTAAAATAAAATCTGAAAATTTTGCTACATTGACTGATAAATAGATAGAACATGCAAGGAGTGCCTCTACATTGAGCGCATATGTAGAGCTTATAAAAGACTTATAATTAGGTTTATTTTTCTACTAAATGCATTTCATTTGATAACTCAGTAGTTAAGTGTGCTGTCATCAGTTTTGTTTAGGGGGGTTTATGACTTTCCCTCAATGTAATTTGAAATTTTTTTAATAATGCTTATAACAAAAAAATAATAAAAACTTATAACAAAAAAATAATAAATAACTTATAACAAAAAAATAATTATGTTGCAAAATATATTTCTAAAATTTAAAAATTTTAAAGTTTTCTCATTTTATAGATATATTACACATGATTATCTCTATATAATGCATGCAAACTCAACACATGCTAAAGACATTTACACTTACAAATGTTTGTACGTAGCGCTATACAAATGGAACTAAGACCACTAAAATATAGTCATAAAAAAAGTGCATTCTAATGATTATTATTAAAAACTAAAGAATAATATAACTTTAGCTATTAAACGCTAATCAAAAGTTAAGCCAAAAATGTTTTGCGCATTGACACTTGTTTGTGGCAAAATAAACCTTTATGTGTCAAGTTTTCTTTTGCATCTTAAATTTTTTTATTAATTTTAATTGTTGCATACAGTTGCATAAAATATATAAAACTGGTACAGATATATCATTTCACGGATTTCATAAATAGTATTTATTACAATAGTTTTTGTCTTGAGAATATATCCCATAAAAATATATTCCATCTATCTTTAATAGAAGGAGTTTTTTTAAAAAATTTAAACAAAATTTTTTCTTGTTTGTTTCTCTAGTTTTTTGCCACAAAGTGATGTCACAAGCGCAAATAAATTGTGGCTTCAAATAAAGCGCAAATAAATTGTGGCTTCAAATAAAGCGCAAATAAATTGTGGCTTCAAATAAAGCGCAAATAAATTGTGGCTTCAAATAAAGCGCAAATAAATTGTGGCTTCAAATAAAGCGCAAATAAATTGTGGCTTCAAATAAAGCGCAAATAAATTGTGGCTTCAAATAAAGCGCAAATAAATTGTGGCTTCAAATAAAGCGCAAATAAATTGTGGCTTCAAATAAAGCGCAAATAAATTGTGGCTTCAAATAAAGCGCAAATAAATTGTGGCTTCAAATAAAGCGCAAATAAATTGTGGCTTCAAATAAAGCGCAAATAAATTCTTCTACAATTTACAAAAAAAGCCTCGTCTATCATTTTTATCGGTCTAAGAAGCAGATAATGTAATTTTAGCAATCAGAAATTATCAAGAGATGGGCAAATCTAAAATTGAAGTTTCAAATTTTCCACTTATGTGAGAACAATGGACAATATGCTTCATGTTTTTTCAATCTAGTCAATTTTTTAAAATATAAATAACATACATACAAAAAATCAAAACAAAACAGCTTGACCAAAAAAGAGTCGTAATTATTAAAAAGTTTACTTATACCATCCTGAATAAAACTTTATATAAGTGGATTTTTTACATTTTATAAACAATATACATAAACAAATAGCATTTGTTTATATATATCGTTTATATAGGAGTGGTTAAGCCCCAAACCTACCTATACAATAAAATTTAAAAAAAAATTAGTTTTATATTAAAAAACGATTTATATAATGTTTCTTTGCAAGCACCAATATAGTATACTTAAAATTTTTAAATGCACTGAACTGCTGCTGCATCTCTTTCTTGCCATTACCTCGCTTCCAATTGCTGCCAAGGGTACAGTGTCAAACAGTCTAGAAAGCGCACCAATATTAAGTTCAGTATTATTAAATAGATAATCAGTTTAACATTGTGGAGCAATTTAAATTTGTTTTTATATGTTAAAAATGTTTTTGGCTAAAACCTGTATTGCAACCCCTCCCCTCTTAAAATCTAGTCGCACTGCCCTACTTTCAAAAATATGTATGCATCAATATCTCCAGTCTGAATTATAAATAAAAGGTGGATATCCGTTCTTAATAAAAATAGATGGTATGTTCTTAATAAAAATAGATGGTGTTCTCCTAACTTGTCTTTACTCTACAAAACCAATTCGACTCTTCCTTTTACATCTGTTTATGATAAGAGAAGTTTCAGTAGACTAAAGATCACAAATTATCTGTGATTAACAATGACAAAACAATGTCTATTTGGATTGATAATAATTTTAATTGAATGTGAGCTTGCTGAGAGCATTGACTTTGCATTAACAATAAATTGTTTTGCTTCAACAAAGTGGATTCAGACGTCCATAAGACATCTGTATAAATGTTACAAATCCTTATGATATTCTTAAGTCTTCTAAAGAAACATTCTGTGTTCGCTGGAAAGAAACCTTGTAGAAAAAAGATTTAATAAACTAGCAGGAAAGTAAATTTCTTACTTAATGCTTGCTTTCGGTAATATGCAGTGTAAATATATTTTAAAATAACCAAACCATTGCAATAATATTAAAAGCTTCCTTTTTTTTAACGATAATTGTTAACAAAGTAAACTTAGCAAATTCAAATATATTTAGTTCTTAATACTTGAAATATCCTCATTATTAAAATAATATTTTACATACTTAATAGTTATGCTAAAAGCCATATAAAAGAATCGATAAAATATATTTATCACAAGCGCGATTCTAGAAAAAAATTTTGTGGCAACTTGCAATAAAGTTTGAAAATAGTTTTTTGCAATGCATTCCAACAACAGCAAATATTATAAAAAAAAGTTAGCAAGAAATAAAGTAATAATCTAAAAGATCCAAAATAATAACAAGCTTGTTTGGTTTAACACCCACAAGTCCTATTTCTTTAAAAGTTTCGCCCTTTTTGGCTAAAAAGTTAACT